ATTTTAAAGTGCAATTTTCAGCTATAAGCAATTAATTGACTACTTCAGGGTAATAAAATTGTTATGATTCTTTGTTTGCTAGCACACTTTCCTCTCTGCTCTTACCAAGCATGGATGCAAAAACCAGGCTTTGCTCCTAAAGATGTTTTTTCTTCTTACTTGAACACATGGAGGTCAGCTATCTAGGGACCTCCGTACCGCAGTATAGTTTTCTCTACTGATTAGTTATTTTGTAGAACCTAGATGTAACACTAAAATAAGTTCCCTTTTACCTACCAATATATCCTGTTTATTTACCAGAAGCTCAGATCTGAATGTTTTTACCAAATACCTGTGGAGTACACACTTGTTGCTGTGTTGTTGCTGCTGCTAAACTGGTTTTTAATCACAAACTAACCACAACCATAATTCTAACACTGACCACAGTTAGCAATGGAAGTCTGTTCTCCTGTTGGTTGGATGCAGCAGACTGACGTTTTCTCCTTCTTCCTGCCAGCATTCTCTAGTATAATCATCAGAAATAGGATCCATGTTGCAATTCCTCTTTGCACTAGAGATTGCTTGCAGAAAGGGGGTGGCAATGTCAGTCTGCTGCATCTTGATCAACAGGAGAACAGACCTCTATCATTCACAGCAGCATCCACAATTCTGGGCACCACATTTCAGAAAGGATGTTGAGAAGCTGGAGCATGTCCAGAGGAGGGTGACCAAAATGGTGAAGGGTCTGGAAACCATGCCCTATGAGAAGAGACCTAGGGATCTTGGTATGTTTAAGCTGGAGAAGAGACAGTTAAGAGGCGATATGATAACCCTGTATAAACATTTAAAGGGGTGTCATATTGAGGATGGAGCAAGCTTGTTTTCTGCTGCTCCAGGGAATAGGACACTGAACAATGGATGCAAGCAACAAGAAAAGAGATTCCACCACAACATTAGGAAGAACCTCCTGATAGTAAGAGCTCTTTGACAGTGGAAGATGCTGCCTCAGAGAGTGGTGGAGTCTCCTTCCTTGGAGGTCTTTAAACAGAGGCTGGATGGCCATCTGTTGGGGGTGCTTTGATGGTGAAGCTACAGTACTGAAAGTGGTGTCAAACTGCATTATTTCTACAGTCAAGATGCACCCCTGGAGGAACAATTAACCTTTTAAATGGTCTATTGCCTCCCCTCTACCACTTTAGCATGAGTATTTGCTCATTTCCCCAAACCAAAGCAGACTTTATGTTCTATTGTAGTTGTGTATTGTTCTCATTTTTGGGTTTTTTGGAAAGTCCCCAGAGGCTCCCAGGGCAGAAAATGGGGCTCCTAGAACTGCCAAAGTTACTCTTCTCTGTCTTTAGCAGAGGCATTCTGGTGGAAATGTCTAACAACGTAATGGTTGCCACACAGAACACTAGACCAAGATCCATCAGAAAGGGAGATTGTTTTTAGCAACAGGCAAGCCATGGCATGCCTCTCACTTCTCAGTTTGAAATGCTTTCTACAAAATCAATTTTTTTTGTAATAAACAAGAGAGACTAACTATATTCTCTAGTATCCTATATGACCTGTCATGTTACATAACTTTATGTATACTTAGTTGAGAGCCAGCATGGCATAGTGGTCTCTGTTGGACTACAACTCTGGAGACTAGAGTCTGATTCCCAGCTTGGTCATGAAACCCACTGGGTGACCTTGGGCAAATCACACTCTCTCAGCCTCAGGAGAAGGCAATGGCAAACCTCCTCTGAACAAATCTTGCAAAGAAAACCCTATAATACCCTTGGTATTTCCATAAGTCGGAAATGACTTGAATGCACACAACAACAACAACAACAACACCTAGATATGTAGCAGATGCACTAAGAAAACCCTTTACTGAATTACAAAAATGCATGATGGGACATTGACACAAATGTTCAATGTGCACCTGTACCAATGTGCATTAGCCTGCAATACAGATCAGTGTGTGGCCCATCGGTGCACAATGCACATCACTGTATACATTCATTATAAGAAGAAATCATAAGAGAAAGTCTCGAAGAAGATGTGTTCTCTCTCTCATCTCATTGGCACCATCTGGTTTTCAGGTGGTATACTGACTTCATATTTGTTGTTATGTGCCATTAAGCTGGCTTCGAGTTATGGCAACCCTATAAATGAGAGACCTCCATGATCCCCACTCATTGACAGCCCTACTCAGGTCTTGCAAACTTAGAGCTGTGGTTTCCCTGATTGAATCAGTCCATCTGGATCTTCTTCATTTCCTACTTTCTTCCACTTTAGCAAGCATTATAATCTTCTCTCATATCATTGCAAAAGTCCATGATGGTATGGTGGGGAATAGAAACGGGACCTCCTATCCGTACACTAGTGGTATAGTAGCGGTGGTAGTAGGAATACTACTATCACTATTAAAGATGATGTAAAGCAGGGTGGGGAACTGTGACTCATGGGCTGCATGCAGCCCCTGGTGTTTGGAAATGTGAGAAATAATACTGGCTATCTCTAGCAGAATAATCAGATTGGCAATGCAGAAGCTGAACAACAACCTTTCAGACACCTCCCAACTAGGATCTAACAGAGAAATGAATAAACATAATCTTCTTTGTAAAAATATAAAAAGTGGATTTACTTACAATTACTTATACATGGTCTAAGGGAAGTGGGAGAGAGAAGAGGAAAATGGATGCATGTTAGAGTGATAAAGGAAGAGACAGCGTATGATCAAACAAGCAAACAAGCATACCAAGTTCAGAAATCTAGGCTTCAGAAGCTAAAGTTAAAACTCAGAAAACCTTTATTAAGCAACTATAGATCCAATCCAGTGCTCTTTATTGTGTCTGATATAGCAAACATTCAGAGTGCCTAATTAAACTACACACAGTTTCAGATTTCAGGTGAGCTTAATTCTTATTTGTTACAAATTAATAAACACCCTTCTCTTCTCTTTCCCACATCACTCCCCTTTTTTGTTGTCATCACCAGATTCTTTTGCAGGATCAACCTTGAACAGGCTTGGTTCATGCTGGCCTCCCTCCCAGTATTATCTCAGCACCCATGTCTGAGATAACCAAGACTTAGCAATACCATTTCTACTGGATAATCCATCATGCCTAATTCCCAACATTTTATGGCAGGTAGATTGCCTACTCCTGACAGCCACCATAATGCAAACTGGTAATAGGTGAGTATAGAATGCAAGGGTTGTTATCTTTAACACCTGGGACACCTGGGATATATGCATCTGAAGAAGTAGATTGAGGTCTACAAAATCTCCTGCTGCCAACTTCTTTATTTCATTGAGTCTCAAAGGTGCTGCAAGATCTCTCTACATACCTGGGACACCTGTTTTCCTGCTACTAAAGACCCTCAGAAGAACTCTGAAGGTCCCAGACACCCACATACTACTGAAAAACCACCCAAACTATAATGAAAACATGGTGGCTGGGGCCCCCTTGACTGCCACCCCCCAAATCCTGGAAAAATGGTATAAAGTGGACATTTCTGGTTTGGGTCTCTGAACCAGAAGTGATGTGATGTCACCTTCTGTTGTGCTAGAAGTGACATTACAGCATGTATGGTGGTGAATGAATGGCCCCCTCCTTCTTCACTGTTGTCCATCTCTGAATTAAAGTGAC